TTAGTTTTCACATCGCTTACTATTGCAATAAGAATCCCCATTTCTTGGTAGAGTACATTTAGGGACCATTTTTTATAAGGAACTTTCTTTCACATGGACTCTAAGAAATATTTATTTAACCATTTGCAATACTTTTTAAAAAATAAATTTGCATTCTTGGGCTATTATCTTTTTGAAATATACATCTACTCTTAGTAATCTTTGAATTCATTTACTTTATTGAGACATTCCATTTCTTGCTTTTCTGTGAAATATTTGTCACGATCGGCGTGTACCTCACTTGAAATATGCCTTACTGGAATAAAAAGTTTAGCAAATATCAGTGCTAATATGCAAATAAATAAACAAAATGAACTCAATCCAATCATAACATAAACAAAACTCAATGCAGTATAATGTTCCATCACATAACCTAGATAGATAGGGACAGTAGCTGCACCTAACGACGACGAGAGCATGAGAAGGGAAGCAATTCTGCCAGATACAGGAAAAAATCGCTCTTCTGTCCAGGAAAACACAGAAGGGAATACTGGGGAGAATGCGAAGCCAACAACTGCGATGAATACCCATACTAACGTTTGCATATAAAACAGGCTCCCAAGAAGTAATCCGAGGAAAGACAAAATAATCAGAATACAAAACGTAAACAGCAAAGTACAAGACTGAAGAAAACGTGCAAGAAAAATTCCCAAAAATCTTCCGACGCAGAATCCTAACCAGTATAAAGAACTTGCTATAGAGCCATCCGCTTTGGTCCATTTCATATGGCGAATACAGAACGTCATGAGATAGGAGGCATATGTTGCCTCAACTCCCACGTAACTGTTGAGAATCAAACAAAGGAATATTATTGTAGGTATTTTCAACTTCAGAGGTAAATTTTCGGCAAGTGCATCTACTGGAGAAATTGTATCCTTTTTTAATTTATCTATTTTATCGTTCGGTCTGAAAAAGCTTACTAACAATGGAACAGAACATAGCAATGATAGGGAAGACGTAATGAGATAGCCATGGTGAACGTAAGTTACCTGTCCATTAAAGCTTGAGATACTATCACTTGTAGTTCCATTACAACAATCATCATTAAATGAAACATTTCTTGATAAAAAGTAACTAATATTATCGGTCTTATTTGAATTTGAAACATTTAATGTATCTTTTAAACTGTCGAAAGTTGGCTGTGCCAAGAAAGGGGCAATAATCTGTGGCGAAATAATTCCTCCAAGTGCAAATGCGAAGTGGATGGCTTGATTGTAGAATGCGCCCTCGCTTTCCCACATGGTTAGAATCAGAGTACTGCCAGCTGAAAGAGCAGAAAAATTTTATATGCATCTAGCCGGCTAATAAAACTGATCAAATGATTGATTAACGAGTTTTAATATTATTTTTATTTTTAGAAGAAATATATAGCACTACGTGATCCACCTGCAACACCCACTAATTCGAGTGTACATATATGCTAAATATTTTGCATCTTATTACTTGTATAGAGTTAGATAAGTACACTTCATACATTGTTTACAATGAAGCCATCCTCACTAGCCAAGGTTCCGATATGATAATCTATCTACACCTTGGCGGAACGAACATATATATTGGTGCTTTGTCATAGCGACATCTATTGGATTTCTTAAGTTGACTCACTTAGTATATAAATGCCAACTAACCAACAGCTTGGTGCATTGTACATCGGATAAAAATGGTGGGGGCAATTGACCTAAAATGAGACTTTGAAAGTTTAACATCGAAAGTATGACTATGTACCAGAGGAAAGCCGTTACAGGTGTATTTGAGTGAAAGGTATTTGTGCAAACAAGGACCGGTACTAGAAAATTGTGTATTCGAGTTGTGTGATCCCTTTGTCTCGATCATGTAGGGACAGTATTAAAATTTGAACATCTTAATTTTGATTGGATGTGGTGGTTTGCCGCCGCAAACAAAGAAATTCAGTCTCGAAGCACATAAATATATGTTCGATACTCCAAGGTGTAGATAGGTTTATTACAGTGGAACCTTAGCAAGCATAGATGTTCTGAAGTTGATTGTTCTCCATTTTCCACCATCCGCATCCATATCCACAAATAAAAAGAACGATACTGAAACGTGTAATTGGGATGGGGGAGCGAAGACTAGACACTATTTTAAATGACTATTTTTGAAAAGAGGGGAAAATAAGTCGGGAATATACCGTTCAGTCGATAATATGATGACATCCGAAGGATTTGAGCCTTGTATTTATTCGAATATGGTGTACATCCAAGACACATGTATATAAAATAATGCTATACACAATTTCGTTTTACTGAAGTAAAACAAAACAACACGAATATTGAGCCGCATTAAACTTGGATTGTTCACTTAATTAGCTTCAGATAATGATACTATAAAATACAAACGAAGGAAAGAAAGAACAAGAAGAAACTCAAAAAGGAAGAATTAAATGATGTGTGGCACAAATGCTGAGTGGAATACGTGTGCGAAAAAGTAGGTAGGTAACTTAGTTGGTTGGCTAATATTTGGTTAGTCTGTGAAGGACATTTGAAATCTGCTGGTAGGTTTAACTGAACGGTGAAATAATAATACATAAACGGTTAAGTAGATACAGTACCGTACCTATTTCTATTCCACAAGGGAAAAAGCAAGAAAGCACTTTCATGAAGATCATCAGCGTGAAGGTTGAACACCAAGGCACAGCACCGTTTGTGATGGCCGTCCCAAATGTGGCAAAGAACAGAATAAGGACTCGATCAAAACGGTCGCAAATGACTCCCCAAATGAGACTTCCCGCTATGAAGCCGACGGAACAGGCTATGTTAAGCCAGGACGCTGTTGCGAGGTCTTCATTTACGATTAACTGTAGATCCGGGAAAGATGGCCCACCTTGACCGGAAATTAACCCCTGTGCGATAGAGAGAAGAAAATTGTCGTGGTTAAGTGAAATCTAGCATTGTATAAACTTGGCTTCTTGATATAAAAATCTTTCATATGTTCTTTGTTTTGAAACTAATGATAATTATATTTTATTTCCTGCTCAGACCAGTTCACTTTTTAGGGTAGTCGGTCACACACACACACACACACACACACACACACACACACACACACACACACACACACACACACACACACACATATATATATATATATATATATATATATATATATATATATATATATATATGTTTTAATCAATATGCATTGCATGTTAGCGGATGATTTTGTTTTATTGCTCTCTCAAATCTTTTCAATCATAAGACGCTAATAAGACGCTAAGTACAACTTATCCCAAGGAATGCAAGTAAAGCTCGTATCTGTATAGCGAAATCAATATTATATTTATATACACATGAGAGGCGAATCGCCATAAAATGTCATATTTGAATATTATATAATCAAAATCGGCCAGGCTACTGTTTTAAGGTGATTTGGAATGGTATGCTCTGAGATACTGGCCAGTTCACTTTGAAAGGGGGTTTCAAATGAATGGCTCATGGAAATCAAAATAAACAAAATCCAACTTACGAATCCAATAAATGCAGCAAAGGTCCATACGGTTAGAATAAACTTCCTTCTGAACGTTTGGTCTGTCTTCAAACGCCAACGTATTGTCTTCTCTGCAGTGCCCGAGTTAGTTACGACATTACTTGCCGATTTGTAGAAATTTTCAACTCCATTATTGTCTTCTTGCACATTGGGAAGAAACACTTGAACTTCTGAGCTTTTATTGTTTGTTAATTCTAGACTAATCTCCTCCGCCATGTTCTAGTATGTTTCACTCCTCTCTGTTGCACATCTTGGGCTTTTTCTTTCAGTGATGCTGCCTCTAATGTAATTAAGAGAAAAAAAACATGAAGCGAAATTAAATAAACCATGCGCGAAATGAAGAAGGTCATGGTAGATATAATTTACACGATTTAAGCATATAACATTTTATACAGGTCATCATGTAGTGCAGATCATCGTTTACGACACAGAGAACCACATAACTTTTTTTAAACTTCATCGTATCTTTCTCGCCAAAGTAAAAAATGCTCTCAGCTGAGATCGGTGTAGGCTTAGTTCTAACGGCCAATTCATAATATGTTTTGGTGTAACGGTACCAATTGTACAACTCCAGGTGGGTGGAGGTTAAGATATAGGGAACATTGTATTCGGTAATAAACAATAAAACTAGATGTGATTGGTGCATTATGTAAAAATTGTACTTTGTATTAGGCTTTAAAAACAGTTGAACCTCTTGACAACATATGCGATTATGTTGATTCATACCTAGATCACATTTTGTATTTTTTATGATTATTTTTTTTGGTTAAAATGTTGTACACATGACTGAAAATGTGTCTGGTGTGACCAGATAACTCTTACCCCTGTCTAGTTCCAGCAGAGTTATCTCTCTTAAATGCAGTGGAATAACTGGTCCAACTGACAATCTAACATTAATCTCTCTGACAGTGTGCGACACGCATGCTGAGGTAGGATAGAAAATATATTTATTTCACAAAACATTAGTATTTAGGTCTATGGAAAAAGCAATTGGTACCGTGATACTTTTTGCATAGATACAGATGGAGAACATCGCATAATAATTCTCGAGCTCCGATTGGTTTACTTTAACATCTCTTTCAGGACTATATTAATATCCCCTTGACGACGGGAATGTATATTTCACTACGGGGATTGTACTTGTTCCGTTGACTCTGTAGTAACATGTGGATGGTGGGAACTGTTCTCCTACATTATTGTCTGATGGAGTTTCTATCGTAAGTTAAAGCGATCCCATTTTGTAATTATAGCACGGCTTTGTAGTGTAATCGGTGTGTCGGGGGAGGAGGTAGGCCTAAGCATTGCGGCAGTTTATAGAGATGTCTACCGCAGACAAGTAGCATCATGTTCCACCCAGTCACATTATTCTGACACCGGGCCAACCAGTCCTAATACCCACCTCTTAATGCTGAGTGCCAAGCAAGGCAGCTGCTAGTACCGTTCTTTTTAATCCTTGGTATGACTCGGCCGGGATTCGAACCGGCGACCTCACTCATTCAAGGCGGACGCTCTTACCACATAGGCCACCCGAATGCGCACACTGTAGTCAGGTTTGATGAACACCAAAGGTGTTTACATTCATGCAAGAATAGAATCTTCTGCTAACGGCACACACTGTAATCGGATTTGACGAACACCAAATGTGTTTATATTCAGGCAAGAACAGAACATTCTGCTAACACGTTATAATTTTATTGCCCTTTTAGGAGGACATATAAAGATATGTTTATCCAAGGCGAGTTATGATCACGAGGACGATAGGTTAGAGAAACACGACTTTACGCAATTGAATGAATCTTCATATCTTCCCAAAGAAGGATAATAATATTGTGTATTGCATGGAATCATCCAAGACATGGAAACAACACGATTGCATGAGGGAGGCAAAATATTTTGTTCCCCGACACATACAATATGTGTGTCAATCATAGACACGTTTATTTTAAAGGCATATGTCAGCATGTGTGGGTCTTAAAGATGAACTGGGTTATTTTGGATCAAAATCAACCATCAAACCTTCAAAGTGACGGCTGCGTTCATATTAAATGGGTGTGTTTCATATATCAGCTCGCATAAGACCGTTTCAGACTACTAAGTGACCAGTGCCGGATTAAGTATGGGTACAGAAGCACGCGCTCCACCCCACCCCCTCATTTGAACTAGAGTTGTCACTAATGGTATGGCGGTGGTCGTATATTCAGACTATTGTGGTCACTAATAGCTTGTGTGGTCCTGTATTTAAAACTATGGTGACCACCAATGGTTTGGGTGGTACTGTATTCAAACAATAGTGTTATCTAAAGGTATGTATTTTCCTCTATTTTAGAATACTGTGCTCGCTATTACAAGGGTTGATCCTGTATTCAAAGTATAGTGGTCACTAATGGTATGAATGTTCTTGTATTCAAACTGTCGTGGTCACTAATGATATGCGTGGTACCGTATTCAAAATATAGTGCTCATTAATGGTATGGATGGTCCTGTATTCAAACTACATTGGTTAATACTTTTATGGTGAGTAACTTGAACTTTGCACCTGCTTATCTAAGGAATCAATTAAAAATGGAATGTCAATGTTTTGGACTTGATTATCTTTTAGTGTAACGTTCTGGGAGAAAATAATTTGTTTTAGTGGCAGTTGGCTCAGTGATTATAATCACAAAAATATAATAAAATAAAACCTCCTATCAGTTATAATTAATTAATGTGTATGTCATCTCATTTGAATAAACATGAACAAAATGCATGCTATAATGACCAAAGTGGGAACATAAATCTGGACGTGAGAAATTCGCCGTGCGTAAATTTGGGCGAGCATGAAAGGGCCATATATAAAGCTGGATTAATTGACCATACGAGTTTTGACCGGTGAAATCTCATCCGAATTATTCAAGAAAACCATTAGACATTAACAAGCTGAGTAACATTGACCTAAAAACTTAAGATATACATTAATACGTTGAGTGACCTTGACCTAAATATGTAAGCCATTGTACATTAATAAATTAATAAGGTTAGTAACCTTGACCTATATATGTTAGGTATTAGAAATTAATAAGGTGAGAAACCTTGAACGCATTTTCATCGTCAGGCATGGTGTGTGTGTGTGCGTGTGTGTGTGTGTGTGAGAGAGAGAGAGAGAGAGAGAGAGAGAGAGAGAGAGAGAGAGAGAGAGAGAGAGAGAGAGAGAGAGAGAGAGAGAGATCAATAAATCACGACGAAAGCATGATATAATAATGGCTGATGTGAAATCAACAATATTCAGTTGTGAATCTAAATCTACACTTAGGAATAACGCATATGTTCTTTAACAATATATCAATCATGTAATACAGAATCGAGTGATATATGAAGAATAAGAAGAAAAAGCCACACAATTGTCACCTTACGTATGCATCGGGAGCGTTGGCGAAAACGTGTCCAGATTCAACAAGTCGTTGTGTAGTACTTTAGGATCGTATAACTTGTGAAAAACTTTGTTATCATTGGTGACCTAATTTTATATGCTGGCTCTAAAGGACAATACTAAGACATAAGCAGATTAACAACAATGAAATCTACAAAATGATAAGATGTTTAATTCGAGGTAAGCTGGTGAGGGTGTGGTGGGGGCAAGGCAGTAGTCCTATTTAAGGCTGTGGCACAAATCCTTGTTGACTATAGTCGCATGTAGTAGGGAATTGATAATTTCGACATACTTATTACTACTTGCTTATCGACCGGTTCCAGTAGGGAAAATCATTTGGTTTACACAGATCTTATCCTTGATCTTGTCTTACAAGTGTCAAATTTCGTCATCATAGAACTATTTCTGAGAATACATTTCAACAATATTGGTTATAAATATTTAGTTTTAAAACAGAACTAGCAGGTTAGAAGGATTTTCTTAACTATCAAGGACCAAGGTGTGAAAGGATAAAAACTGAAGCAATTAACTATTTGAATGAGTCAGATACCGGTGTGTGGTTAAATGCGAGGGATGATATCAGATCGAAATTATCATTATCTAGCTATCTCATGCTCTCATTACATCATGATACGTATAATTGTGATAAAGTCTGTGTGACGTCAGTGAAGTTTTCATGACATAACTACGACTTTGAGGGAAGTTTAAAATAGATAATATTTACATCCAACGATTTGTTTTTGTAAAATGACATGGATTTTCTAATTAATACGGGCGCAGATGAAAACATTCTGCTAACTCTGACCTCATCCGATGTCCCATGTCAAAACTCTAGTCAGATGTAATTTATGTTTCGTCCAAAATAAAATTTAGACTTTCTCAGTTTCTACTGTGACATAGTTTTCGCAAAACAAATACAATTTAGTCTGATGATTGTATATACTGTAAAAAAGAATGCTAAAATATCTGAGTCAATGCCCAAGTCGAATGAATAAACAGCAACTTCTAGCTGTTTAATAATGACAATGATAAAAAATGTAGATGGTCCAACAGCAACAATAAGAACATGTGCTATATAATGTTTCAGAAAATCTGAAAGTGAATCAAATCGTTCGGTACATATTCATACTCTTAATCCACAACGCTCAGTCTCCAAACGCGAAGATTAAAGACTTCATCTGACTGGCTGATACAATTAGTGATTATGGAAATAACATAGGTTTCCAGAACATGATCCCTAAGCGGTCGCTGTCAGATCTTCATGTATAATAGTGGAGATCTGATCTTAATCAGATTTCTTACTTTGTCAATCGTCGATTAAATTACTGACGGACGACAGCTGTATGTTCCATACTGATCTTTGCACTTGTGTTTATTTATATCGTGTTAAGCACTCGTGGCAAACGAGGAAACCCCTTGGACTACAATTATTGTTTGGTTATTTTGTTAAAGTTTATGTTGTAATTTTTAATGTTTGGCGGGCTTTGTTGTGCCATCTAACGTCTTAGAAATATAGGAGCCAACTGTGGCTGTTACAATGGTATTAGGAAGCGGCATAGAGTGAAAACGTCCCCTGCAGTGTAGTATTATAACCACCCTACCAGACCATACTTGGTCGTATTCCGTTGGACAGGAGAGAGCCAGGCCATGAATCGGAAAAAGATAGGGACAAGGTCTTTCTTCGACCAACAGCCCGGAACTACTATGTTTGTCTGTGCATACGCATAGGTCTTGCAGTAATACACGTTTTTGACTAAGGATAACTCTTCTTTTATTATTTCCCACTGCCCTCTCTCTCTCTCTCTCTCTCTCTCTCTCTCTCTCTCTCTCTCTCTCTCTCTCTCTCTCTCTCTCTCTCTCTCTCTCGCGGATAACAACGTGACTCGGCGACAGACGTGTGATCAGTTGGCGACTCTACGACACAGTCGGTGTCCTGACGGAGACCAGTTGGTGACTGAAACCAGTCGGCGATAGCTACTAAGTCGGCAACCAGAGGGAGACCCAGTCTGTGACATCGACCAGTCGACGCAATTCTGATACGAGTCGGCGACCAAAGAAAGACCTAGTCGGCTACCAGAGGAAGACCAGTTGGCGACTATGCGACACAGTCGGCGACCGCGACAAGTTTGCAATCAAGTCGGCGACCAGAGGAAGGCCAGTCGACGACTCTGAGACCCATTCAGCGACTGCGAACGAGACCGCGACAAGTCAGCGACCTTGTGACAAATCTGTGACCAAAACTGACAAGTCTGCGACCCATTTGGCGACTGCGACTACGTCGGCGACTAACAAGAAGCCAGGAATAAGATGGTATCCAGCTGAAGTAGAAATCTGTCACACTCTGTAGTGTCAGTCATCTAATAAAAGACTTATCATAAAGAACCCAAGATAGCGAAACTCGTGGCAGTGTAGCCGAGGATATATTCCGCTACAAATTGATCGCAGCGGTGGGATCGGTCGAGAAGTAGAAGACAAAATTAAGATGGCTTACGGAGGGCAACAAATAGGCGACTGGATGCTAACCCACGAAACGGAGGTAAGGACAGCTATTCCTTTCGAAGATGAGTTTTGGCACCTGACGAAGGAATGCGAAGATTTGGCGAAAAGACTAGCTGCAAGGAAGGGGACGACCAGGAAGGCAGGAGAGTTGTCAAGAAAAAATTGCTTCCAGACGACAGATTCACTTTAGTGGACAAGTGATATCGACACCCTCGGATTTGCCGAAGACAAAGAAGATAGGCGATACCACAGCAACAAGAGCTACTTTTCAGGCAGCTTTCAAAGACATTCGAGATCCAAGAGCAGTGGAAAGGTTGCAGAAGAGAGCAATGAGGCGACTAATCTACAGCAGAGAACCTTGAAGAGGCCGGTCGTTATTCCGATGTCATACGACGAAACAACCTTGTTAGATTTTATCACTTATTTCGAGATGTGCTCGACCCTAAATTCTTGGACAGAGGAAGAAAAGAAACTATTTAGGTGTCGCACTGAGAGGTCAAGCACAGCAATTGTTGGCAGTGCCTGAGAAGAAGTTGTAGTGTGAGTTAGTTGATGCTCTGAAACAGAGATTCCCCCCCCCATCAGACCGAGTTATACAGAGTTCGGTCAAGTAGTAGAATTCGCAAAACG